TAATTTATATTAAATAAGAAGGTATCCTAATAATTTTGGAGGGGAGTATACCTGGTTATAGTATCTAGTATTTCAGAAAATACAGGTTGCAGTAGATTATCGAGAACCGAGTTCGATTCGACTTAGGCTTAGAGTCTCTGTTTAACGTGTCCGCCGTGATGAGCAGTTATTTTATTGCGCAGTTTATTCGCATTCGCGTCTAATACTACTTTCCACTCTGCTAACTGTAGACATAAACTGATATTAATACTGAACTTGCCACCATCGACCGAGTTTTATATATTTTATTTTACGATTAATGAAGTGATAAAGATCTTTCCGTCGAAATCGATCGAATACATTTTTTCTTGCTATTTTTATAAGATGCTGGACGATTATTAAAGTAGACCCAGAGTTTGAGAATTGTTAATTGAATATCAAGTTTCTCAGAACTAACCTATTTTTCGCAGGTTTCATTGAAATCTGTATGAAGGATCCAACGCATCTAGAAGATGTATCTTAAAAAGTATATTGGTAAAAACAATTGAAAAATTAAATTACAAGTACCACCAAACAGACTCAGTGATGTTGCCACTAAAGTCCCTCGAGCATTAAAGGATACAGAAATCGGATTCATAAGATTCTCATTGTTGAGGTTCCAAAGCGTAAACCGTGTCATGTAGCAACAGTTATCCTAAACCTTCCGCTAATAGTGCACTAAGCTTCATCACAGGGTCGAATGACGTATAAATACTCTTGTGTGTCGTGCGGTGGTAAGTAGGTATATAGGTAACGTTCTAAGCCATGGTGCTCGAGGGGTAAGTCAAACCGCGGGGCAAGACGGGGAGTCCAGCCATGGCGAGCGCCGGTGGGTATGGAGGGGGAAGGGCCGCAGCAAGCTCCGGGGGGGGGGGGAGTCTCGCGGTTTCGCATTTCGTACGCGTTATCGATAGTCGTTTATCTTCCGGTCTTCTCGTCTTATTGAATTTAATTATGCAGCATTTTTTTATCGCGCTTGAATTTTTACATTGTAGGAGATGTTTTGGAGTGAGAGAGAGGGGTAGATGCATCGCAACGGTTTCTCTGTCACTTCCGCAGCATGTCTAACGAGTTTGGACATGTTTTCTAAAGCGGTCTTCTCGCCTTATTGAAATTTAACCCTTTGCGGACGGCTATCTACGGACAACAGCCCAAGCATTTTTGTCGTTCGGGACGCGTGTCGCGGACAGCAGCCCAAGCAAATAGGATCAACGTTATATTTAGAACGTGGACACCTGCCTTTGGTATACTACAGATGCATCCGTATATTCTGTGCTCTCGATTGGTTTCTTTTTGCGCCTTATCTTTCCTTGATCTCAAATGCTGGATTCGTGCATGAGAACAATAGTCTTGTACGTATCATTCAAACAAGCACATCCCTCATATTACAGTTCAGATTTTCATATAAAGTTAATTATATTTATATATTATTATTTGGACTATAATATAGGGTGTCCCAAAAATGTCTCGCAATCCGAAAGTAGGGGATTCCTGAGGTCATTTGAAGCAACTTTTTCCTTAGCGAAAATGCAATCCGCGGCTTCGTTTACGAGTTATTAACGAAAAACAGTGACCAATCAGAGGCGAGAGCATTTGGCGCGAGACGGTCGAGTCAATGAGCGGAACTGGGCTCCGTGCATTCGTTGTCTGGGCCGCCGCGCGCCGGCCGAGATCGCCTCTTATTGGTCAGTTGAGGAAAAGTTGCTTCAAATGATCACAGGAATTCCTCATTTCCGGTTTGCGACACATTTTTGGGACACCCTGTATATGAAAATTACCCTACTATAACATTATGTCTAAAAGAAGCGGGAAGGATGTTACATTTTGTGTCATCAGCAGCAGTGATGATGAGTTTTATGTTGAGTCAAGGGACAGTGATGAAGTTATGGAAAATTCTTCTTCTGATAGCGGAAGTGAAGTACAACATGTTGTACGAAAACAATTCCGCCGTTTCAACATTTCAAGTGATAGCGAAGATGAAGGTGAACGGCAAAGAAACCAATGAGACGAGGCAACTGTCGATTTCACGTGGAGGAACGTCGTAAACCAAGCCATAGAGAGTGTCAAAATCCCATTTACGTCTGGGACAGAACCTGTTGGTCCTCAGGCGTGTCTGCAATATAACGAACCCATTGAGTTTTTCAAATTATTCTTCACTGATCAATTAATGAATAAGATACTGGAAGAAACCAATAAATACGGACGTGTTAAAATAGCGAGTAAAAATATCTCAGTACATTCAACTTGGAATACATGAGTCGACATAACGAAGGCTGAAATATCTGCATTTCTAGGGGTGATATTGAATATGGGCACGATACCCCTTCCAAATTTGAAGGAATATGGGTCAATTGCGCGTAACGCGAAAATACCGCATTTTGGAGAAATATTTAGAAGAGATAGATTTCTTCAGATTTTTTGGATGCTCCACGCAAATGAGAAAACAGCATCTGCGCAAAATATAAGAACACGAAGCGAAAAAATCAGTGATTATTTACATTACCTTGATACGAAGTTCCGAGAAAACTTCGTATCAGGTAGAGAATTGTCTATTGACGAAGCGGTAGTCAAATTCAAGGGAAAAATAAGTTTTATAACGTATACCCTAAGAAGCCCACAAAATGGGGGATACGTATATATGTGTTAGCTGATGCTAACACCGGATATGTACAAGCTATTCTACCCTATTATGGTAGTTTGACCACGGAAAATCTTGTGCGACCTGATCTACCCGTTAGTTCTAGAATTGTTCTGGATCTTTACCAGAAGGTATTAGATTTACACCCTGAAGTTGCAGGGCACATTATATTTACGGATAGATATTTCACTAGCATACCACTAGCAAATGCGCTGTTGCAAAAGAATTGCAATTTAACCGGTACTATACAAGCAAATAGAAAATACATTCCGGATGTAATAAAAAAACAAATATTTTCTGATAACAAAATTACTGCGTATAGGTCTGGTGAAATTTTGTTATTATCTTGGAAGGATAAGGGAATTGTTAAACTGCTGAGTACTTGGGATACAAGTGCAACAAGATAAATAAACAGAAAAATGCGCGGTGGTGGATTTCTCCAATTGGAAAAACCCGTTGCAATAATAAATTATAATAACTACATGGGTGGGGTAGATAGGGCCGACCAGTACACTTCCACTTACTGTTTTATGAGAAAATCAAATAAGTTGTGGAAATAATGGTATTTTTGGAGTCTCGAAATGTGTGTTGTAAATGCATATATAATGTACAAATGTATATGTTACAGTGAAACACAGAAATCTGGAGAATGTCGACTTTCACCGGTGAATGTCAACATTCACATAGTCGCTTGGTGTATGTCCGAAATATTTGCTAAATACCCTTATTTTTGACTTACACCAGTAAATGTTGACATTCACCATGCACTAATGGTGAATGTTGAACATGTTGGAGATTTATATTTTCTTCTCCGTAATTCAGTCGCTATAAAACACCACAAGGCTGACGTAACTTTTTCGCCTCTCTTTCTGAAAGGAATGACCAAGAATTTAAAATACACGGTACATTCTACATGAGAAAAGAAAATAATAGTAATAAAAAAATTACTTACTTATGTGATTAAAATCTTATTTATTGCAACAACTTAAACTATTATGACACTTTGAATTGCACAAGAGTTCCCTTGTTTTTACAACTACATTTATTTGTGGAACACTTCTTTTTGCAATGACAGGTTTTGGACCTCCACCAGAGCATATCTGTGATTGTCGACACACACCGGAGACCGAAAGTACAACAATGTAATGAAATATTCGATCTTTCACCGATGTATTTGGTATCTGTTGACATTCACCGGTGAAAGTCGACATTCTCCAATTTCGGTCATTCACGGTAACATATACAAACGAAAAACAATCGAAAGCCTCGTCGATCAACTCGTTGACGATTTTCGTGACGGATCTCAAAGGAATACGGAACCGTCTACGACTAGTGAGCCAAAAAGACTAAATGATCGCTTACACATCATTCGTCATGACGATAATGGAAACTGCAGAGACTGCATTGTGTGCTCAAATCGGAAAATAAAAGGAGGAAGGAAACAAACACGTTTCTACTGTGACACATGTCCGAAAAAACCATTTATGTGTATAGGCAACTGTTTTCAGAAATATCACACTTTAGAAGATTTTAAAAAATGAAATTGAAATTATCAATAAAAAGTCTAACAGACATGATGGAAATCATTTAGCAACCATTTGTTTATACATTAGGTTGTCCCATAAGTTTCTTCCGCGCCACGCTATGAGTGACTCTAAGTGGCTGTGTTTATATAAACATGCAGGCTTATCTCTTAGCCGTTTATGGCATCGGTTTCAGTCGTCCCAGAGCTCTTTCAAAGTACGTTTTATTGGTGACAAAGTCTCTTTTAAAAAATTTTCTGCACCGTTCAATATGGAGAGCCAAAAGATGCATTTGCGGCATGTTACGCTTCATTGCTTTAAAAAAGGCAATAGTGCAAAGGACACTGCAGACGAGATTTGCACCGCTTACGGGAGTGGTACTACCACTATTAGGACCGTCCGCAATTGGTTTAAGAAGTTTAGAGCTGGCAATTTCGAGTTGAAAGATGAAGACCACAGCGGCCGCCCAGCAACGACTGATACGGACATTATCAAGACTGTGCTCACTGAAAATTCACGATATAGTGTGCGTGAGATAGTGGATGCCACTAATATTCCCAAGACAACGGTACATAAGCATTTAATCAAGATGGGATATGCGAATCGATATGAAGTTTGGGTTCCACAGCTATTGACCTTCTGAACCGTGTCTCTACATGCGATTTGTTTCTCCAGCGACATGAAAGGGATCTTTTCTTAAAGATGCTTGTCACTGGAGGTGAGACTTGGATTTTATACCAAAATGTGCATCGAAAACGCACTTGGTCCAAGGAAAGTAGACCTTCAACTGTTGCGAAGCCTGGACTTCATCCGAAGAAGGATCTTCTGTGCATTTGGTGGGACTGGAAAGGTGTAGTGTACTACGAGCTCCTTCCACAAGGTGATACGATCAATGCTGACAAATATTGCAATCAACTGGATCAACTGAAAGCTGCCATAGCAGAAAAACGGCCAGAATTGGCGAACCGACGAGGCGTCGTTTTCCATCACGACAACGCAAGACCGCATGTTGCGTTAGCCGTAAGGCAAAAATTATTACAGTTTGATTGGGACGTTCTACCTCATCCTCCATACTCCCCAGACCTTGCTTCATACGATTACAACTTGTTCCTCTCCTTAAAAAATTCTCTCCGTGGTAAATCTTTCAAATCCATAAACGAAATAAAAACATTAGATGAATATTTTACAAGTAAGCTTCAACAATTTTGGAAAGAGGGCATAATGAGGCTTCCTGAGAGATGGAAGAAGGTTATAGAACAGAACGGTTCATATATAACATAATAAATCCATCTTAAACAAAAAATATCGTGTATTCATTTCGCATAAAAAAAGAGGGAAGAAACCTATGGGACACCCTAATAGTACGAACTATATAATTGTTGCAAAGGAATCTTCATGCGTATACTAGTGTCCCACGAAATGCTCCCAAGCCTCCCCGTCCAGGCGGACGGGTGGTTTCGCATTTCGTTTGGAGTGAGAGAGGGGTAGATGCGTCGAAATTTAACTATTCAGCGTTTTCTTATCGCGCACGCATTTTATGACGTTATAGAGGGTGAAGTATGCGTATGTGCATGTTAATAAATAGTTAATGAATAGATGATAGATAATAAAATGATGATAGTACGCTTCGCGTACCGGCGAAGCAAAGCTGTTCGAATTTGAACTAGGCGTCCGCTACACGGATTTGTATAAAGCCGATCAGAAGTCTGCTTGGTCCCTTATAAAAATTTCTCAGGGCAAAAAAATTTTCAACAAAAGGACGTCGGTATTCTTATAGAAATTTTTATTCGTAATTACAGAGATCCCGTTATTGCATATAAGGGGAGGGGGGCATATTGAAAAAGATCTTTTACGCGAAATTGGAGTCCGAAGTTTGAATTTAGAAAATCTTCGCTGCCCAAAATTCGAAACATTGATCGCGGACCCGAAATATGGGTCTTATGACGTGTCATGCAGGCTGCACTGTTGGACGTTTAGTTCAAATTCGATGCACAGGATGCAGTACCACTGTGGCCTGAGCGAGGTGCGCCTCTTTCGGATGTGGTACATGGAAGGTAACACAACAACTTCGATACTATTGTATACCACGTATTCGAGCAAGTCCCTCAGTCTGGACGAGCATGCCCCCACGTATGAAATCACGACGTGCGGATATCTCCGACGGAAAACGCAATAAACGTCGCACAAAAGAACGTTGCAATATCGACTAAAAATCCGTTGTGTCGGATTGCGTTGCGAGGGATTGCAAGGATAGCACGCTCGCGATGGATGTTGCAAACGAACAAACTTCCATAACGATTCGCAACTGAATAGCGAATTTAGCGAAAGAAAGTTCAATAAGACGAGAAAACTGATACCATGGGAGGATAACGCGTCCGAGAGCCCTCCGGGATGCGAAACCGCAAAATTCGCGACGGCGTTCGCGAAAACGCCTTAGCCCCCTTTGCTCCACGGTGCGGCATTCGCATCGTCGCTGTTTCAGCGCGATAAGAAAACGCTGCATAATTAAATGTCAATAAGACCAGAAGACCGCTTTAGAAAACGTGTCCAAACTCGTTACGAATGCTGCGGAAGTGACAGAGAAACCGTTGCGGTGCATCTACCCCTCTCTCTCACTCGAAACATCTCCTACAATGTAAAAATTCAAGCGCGATTATTAATTAATATTATAATTATTAGATTAACTGTAATTTTTCTTAAAATAATCATTGTCACGTGGAAAAAAATTCGAAAGTTCATGACTTAATCATTGATTCGAACGCGGCACAGAGCCTCCCTTCTCCTGTCAAACTCCGCGGTCGGAGCACATTGCGCTCGAGTGATCGACCACGTTGTAATTCGCGCCCTCGCCTCTCATTGGTCAGTGTTTTTCGTTAATAACTCGTAAACAAAGCCGCAGATTGCATTTTCGTAAAGGGAAAAGTACTACAGAAGTAAGTTTCATTCCAAGATTTCACTCCCATTGACTTTATTAATTATGTCATCAAAACTAATTTACTATTTTTGATTATAGAGAAATAAGACTTCTAAATATTTAAAAAATTAAAAGTACTGTTCTAAATAAAAATATAAATTTTCTGATCATTTAAGAGCTTCACAAAATTCGAAAATGTTAAGATTATTGAACAACAAATATTTGCCTCTTCCGTCACTTTTTTAGAAACATTCACAAAATCTCCAGTAAGTAATGCATGAAAAATTTCTTTCCAGGCCAAATCTTTTTCGTACTGCATCCTAAACGAATACACAATCAGCGTTAACATCAAATTACAGGTTCGAAATTGTTCGAAATACACTGCATACGTACTCAAGCACACAACGCACAAACGCAATTCCATTACGTAAGAATAACTGTGATGAATACTGTCCAATATAAAACAGAAGCCTGTTTAAACCAACAACATTACTATAAAAAATGTCAGAATTAAATTAAGTAATTGCATTAAGTCTGCAATACTATAAGTTTGCTCGAAAATATATCTGACGCACCTTTTTTTCTCACTTTATAGCTTACTTAATAGACAACCAACCACTCTCTTCGCGAAAGTTGCTACAACTAGACAATCCGCATAAACAGATTGAAAATTTTTACTGCATTATCAATTTCATCGAATGAATGTTCCAAGTTGATCATTTAAACATGGGTTTTTATAAATCCATAGTATTCGATTTTATTGTGTCAGAATCAGAAGCACTCAGTGAATTTATCAACGTATTCAATAAAGCAATATCTCTAGTAGTAGTAGAATTTAAATGCAGAAATAAATAGAAAGGCAATCCGATCCTCTGAAGCTGTATTGTTTAATATCCAAATATGATTGCAAGTTGTTAACCAATCGAAGACAGCAGGAAATG